AAAGACCTGTCTCTCCTTACAACATGTCCAAAGTATGTCAGACGAAGCCCCAGAATCCTTGCCTCCAAGGAGCAGCCTGGTTTACCCCTCTCTAGGATGAATCTGTTTGTTTTCCTGGCAGTCCATGTTAAACATTAAAAATATTTTAAAAAAGAAGAAAAAATATGAAAATAAGCTCAGTGCCCTGGAGTTGGGACAGAGGTTGCAAACGGCAGGGAAGGAGACAGCGCTTTCTACTAAGGAGCCACTTCCTAGATTCCCACCTCCAGAGAGGCCTGTGTAACTCCCTACACACTCGCCCACCTGACAAATGTTGCTGTTGTGTGTACCCTGGAGCTGGCGTCCACTAAGAGCTGACCTTCTAGCGGGTTTTCAGAGGCAGTTAATTGCACGAAAGGAGATTGCTCATCCTTCTCCTTGGGAGCAATTGGAGGATTTGAACCATGTGCCTTCACTATTGCAGCGCAGCTTTTTGCCACTAGGATATCAGAGCTCCCTAAAGATATTGATATGCTAATGAAATCCCACAATAAGTCCCTTCTAAGTTGTACTGCAGTCTTCTGTCAATTTGCTGTACTGAGGTAGGCTGGGTTTGCTGTGAAGCTGAATTTTGTGTCATTGAGGTCAAATGCCATAACAGCTGCCCATGGTGGACAGTGTTTGGTGAAGTTCCCAGTTTTTAGGACAGGTTTGGAAGAAGGAGTGGCATCCAATTCCTAAACTACATGCCTCTGGAAACTCTATGAACCTGGAGAAACGACAATAGTTATAGAAAGGCTTCAGGCCTTTGGTTCATAGAGCCCTGCTTGACTTGACAGCAATCAACAACAACAATAAAATCCCAGGGAATTAATCAGCTTCCCATCAGACACAACCATGTTTCTCTCTCTCCTGAATGTCCAGGTTGGAACAGGTATTTTAATTTGAGGAGATCAGCTTGGTTCTTTCAAATGCTAAATCACTTTTGAAGTCCTAATTTGCCTTAGAAAGATGCCTGCTTTCTCATTCTTGAGACTTCTCAAAGATGCTTTTGTTGCTGCAATTAGGCATGGAAGGATGGAACACAACACATTTCATGGGCTGTTTCCTGGCCTCAGGCCACAGGGTTTGGGAGACTCTTAGCTCATGGCTGAATTGTGTTGGAGCTGCTTCTCCTGTGGTTATGACCACAGCATGCTTCATGTGCTAAAGAGCCTATCTTAGGGACGAGCGTCCAATTTCCTATTACTGCTTTAGTTATCTGCATTTTCACTCATGGCTTTTGAATTGGAACCAACTCATTGCTGACCCTCTAGCAAGTTTTTGGAGGCTGTTAATCACACAGAAGAGTGCTCATATTCCAAAAAACCAAGGTAGTGGATTTGAACTATCTTTGGGTTAGGAATACAACTGTGTGTAGACGATACATCCAGAACTCTCTAGCCCCCTCATAGCTTCTATGCTTTGTAAAGTAACATACTTTTACGCTACAGAGCAACTTTCGACTATACAAGAGCTGATGGTGAATAATATGGTGAATGATAGCAAATGATAGTTGGCATATCCTAACAGAATCTCCTACTCCCAGTGCGAAGCAAATCACGGATTTTCTCCTCTAATACAGGGAACCACAACTTAAAGCATCAGCACTGTCACCTGCACTGTGAACTATAGCGGTTTTCTCTCCCTGGGCCCAGCCAGTAGTATTTTCTGTAAATCTTTCTAGAACTAGAACTTTTCTGGCCAGATGTGACACTGCCCTGATGTTTGCCTTGGAAATGGAGGCTCTCCTGGTTTTTTCCTCTGTGGTTATTTATTAAAAAAATTTTTTTTTTATTTTAACCTCCCCCCAAACCAGGCCCTCTACTTTCAGGGGCAATTGGGGGTGGAAGTGCAATTGCTTTTACGATCAAGCACACCCATAGAGAGCACAACCTGATGGGATTGGACATATAATATTAAATATATATATTTATCATATTTGTATGTAAGTATATTTAAATAAATATATATTGAGAGGTCTGGACATATAATATGAAGTGTGTGTGTGTGTGTGTGTATGTGTATTATCTATATGTAGTGTGTGTATTATCTAAATGTAGTGTGTGTATATACTCTGAGAGTCAGGAAGAGGAGACAGTTGTGTTCTGCTGGGGTGGTGAAGCTAACTGAGCAGTGTGAAAAGGCAGAACCCTTGCAGTTGGGTAAATCAGCCAGCGCAGCCAAACTCAGGCAGATGTGGGGGCTCTGCCGCTCCCCTCCAGCGCGCATTAGCCCAGCGCCGATGTGCCCTCGGACTGGGGAGCCCTCCCTGGCTTGGGGTGTGTGCGGACAGCGGACGAGGGACACGAGAGGGTCCCCCAGCGGCGCGGCCAGCCCCGCGGGGAGGGAACGGTTCTTACAGTCACGTGCGAAGGGCGCACGGCGGCGGCTGAGGGAGCGGTCTTCGGCGGGCGCCTCGGGAGGCCTCTTACCGGCGGGCAGCGGGAAGGCGGAAGCTGTGTGGAGCAGCACCAGGCAGACAGCCACGACATCCCATAACTTCATCTTAGAGTCCCGTCCAGCGGCGGCACCTGCGCGGGCAGGCCGCGGAAAGAGGACCAGAGAAGACGCGTTAGTCACTAGGACCCCGCTGTCGATGCCCGGGGCGTCGCCTCCCCGCGGCTCCTGCACCCTCACCAACATCCTTACCGCCTTCCTCGCGGGCATCCCCGAAGTCCCCTCCTCCCGTCCAGATCTCCCTCCCTTTCCTCTCGGGACTCCCTCCCCGTTCAGTCTGGGCGACAGCTACCCTTGTCCCGCCACACCGTCCTAGACTTCGGATTCTCAAGCTGGGGCACCACTTCTCGGGCCATTAAATCCACAAAGGCGACGGCACCGGGGCTCTAGGACACCGCTCCCATCCTCCCTGGAAGGCCCCAAGGTTTAGCCTGCTCTGCGTCCTCGCGCGCCCCAATCAGGGAGCACCCGTCACCCTCACCCCCGCCTGGTAGCTCCCAGGAACCCGCGGGCCAGCGGGAGACCCAAGCACACCATGGACCTTTTCATTTTAAAACAACCCATCCTCTGTCTCAGGATCACAACCCCACCAGGCTGCCCCGCGCACCTCGCCCACCCATCACTCTTCCCATCCAATAATCCTCCTGGTCGGTGCAGGAAGCGAGGGCTTGGGGACTTGACGCCTGCTTGGGACCATCTGCGTGCTATGACTTCACTTCTGAAGCATCCGCTCGACTTCAACAACTAGTCCCACTAGTCCCACCTTTAAACAACAACCAACCAACCAAATATTAAAACAGACAAACACGCATTAAAATAAGCAAGCGACCAACCAGAAACACGCGCGGAAAGAGCCCGGCGGGGCACGCACTGCACACGACGAAGGCTTTACCATTGCTATAGCAGGCAGCGATTTCATTTGTCTTGCAAGTGTGAACCGTCTGGACAATAACAGATGCCCCCCACGTCTCAGAATTTTATTTTGCACCCTGCTAGGGTCTAAAGCTCTGGCCACTGCGGGCACCGGAAGGCCTAGGCCGCGAGCTGGCCTGGGATCTGAGCTTAGCCAACTGTTAGTCCTGGAGTTCCGCTCGCTTCGCAGCTCTTACACCACTGGAAAGGAGGCCCACGCAGGCGGGGGGTGGGGGAGGGGGCAAGCCATGAGGCCTGTGAACTCAGGCCAAGCCCCTCCCAGTGAGAAGGTGGGGAGGGCGTGGGGCTCCTAGGCGAGCGGGGACCCAGACTTTTCTATTGCCTGTGTCCCCATCTCCAAGTGTGCGGGGAGAATTCTCACTCGGAAACAAAAATCAGGATTCATACAGATGATTGATTATTCCCAGAAAACACAGATGCTTCAAAAAATGAAAAGGTCGTCTAACTTTTTCCGTGGCTTGGGCTTGACAGTTTTCAGGTAAATGCACAACTCTTAAGACCTCTTTCCTATTAGTTCCCGCCTCCCTCCTCCAGGCATCCCACCCAGTACCGCAGCCCGGGTGCCTGTCCAGGCCACCCGGAGAAGAGTTTAAACCTGCCGCCACCTCCCGCTGAGAAGACAAATGCACTTTCCAGCCCGCCGGCGTTTGCTCGCTGCGCAGCTGCTGGGCTCGGAAAGCCTGCCGGCACCAGGGACTCCGGGCGACCCAAGGCTTCACGGGCCCCGAGCTGCCCAGACTGGCGTGCCGAGCCAGCCAAAGCCGCGGCTCTGGCCCGCGCGCACGCGTCCAGGAGGAGCAGCAGCCAGGCCCGGGTGATGCGCAGTGAACGAAGGGGAATCTTTGGCAGCAGGGGTAAGAGGAGGAGGGACCAGACGCTTCCCGCGTCCAGGGTGCCAGCTCCCTCCAGGGTGCGTGTGAAATGACTGGCGACCCCGAGGGGGAATGGCGCGGGGTTAGTGAGCCATTCTAAATCGCGGGGCCGGTCAGCAGGAAGCAACAGAGGCACCAGATTTCCCTTCGGCATTAAGAGGGTTTTTCCCCTCCCTGACTGACTGGGGTTTTTTAATTGGACGTGGAGATCCTCAATTAGAACTGTGGCGAAGCTGGCAAAGCAGGAAACCGTGGAAAACTCCCTGCCTGGCCACTGGAGGCTCCTGGCCCCTGTTCCCTCCCTGGGTGATCAGCGCCTTGAAGGCGTCCCCGGGACAGCGAAGAGTGTTCTTTCCTCTTTGCCTCATGTCTCCGCGGCTTCTTCTGGTGCTTGTGACGCGCTTCTTAAGACTCCATCCACGCCCCTCGCACACTCTGCCGCCTCCCCGATTGTCACTTCTTCTATTTCCCAAAACACGCCTGCCTGTCGGCCCCCCTCCAGCACCCCTGTCACCCTCCTTCGCTGAGCGTGCGATTTAATTTATAGCGCGGCCACGTGCTGGTACCAAGCCTTCCTCTCCAAGTTGCCTCTCTAGGTGCCCCCACACCCTTTCTTGGGCATCGAAGATCCCGAGAGCGCTCCAGTGAGACCAAAGGGATGGACGCTCCGCCAACCGGGGCTTGTGTGTTCCCAGATCCAAGGCGCAAGCACGCCCAAGGGGGCGAGGCGCACACGCAGAAGCCGCAGCGCACTGCCGGCGCTTCTGGGTTCTCAGCACCAGGGGGCACCCGAACCCGCCAAGCCCCCCGTGTCCACGCGGCGGAGAGGCTGGGTTGTCATTTTCAGTCCACGCGGGGGTGGGGGCGGGAAAAACCACTCCCCCTACCATCCTCTCCAAATCTGAATTAGCCTAGGGGCTTCTGGGCATGCTGCCCAGCGCCCCGGCTCTGAGGGCCCTCCGCCTCTTCATCATCTCTGCCTGGTTTTCCACTTCTTCCCACCTCACCTGAGCTGGTTTCTCAGCAACCTGCCGGTAGAAGCGCTCGCCGCCCCCCTTTCCCTGCGTCAAGGTGACAGCTTCCCCGCGGTGAGCGATCCCGCCACCAGAGCCCCCGCGCCTTCTAGTGCCTGGCAGGCTGGGGAATCTTTCGGGTTTGCCTTCCAGATTCAGATCTCAGAGAAAAATGGGGTGGACGGGCTGGGGAGGGGTCGCTTTGGGGTGTGAGTACAGTACTCTCTTTGGGGGTGGGAGGCTGCTAAAGGACCATTAGATACTTGTCTTAACTGCTGTGATTGATGAGGGGTGGTTGATGAAGGCCTTGTTCTTCTTGTCCACCTCTCCAACTTTTGAGAGTAAATAAAAAAGAATACAGGACGCTCCCCCACCCCGTCAGACTGGGGAGAGGGAGTCTACGTGTTAAGGGAGTCCCAGGCCCAGCGGCAGCCAAATCCCTGGACACAAGGAACTCCCCGGCAGTTGTCACTGATAGAAAATGCAGCCCTGTGACCTCTTCCCTCATCTGCCAGAGGCCCCACTTCGATGGATGGCTTTGAGGGGGAGAGAGCGCACGAGACAGGAGGTGGCATCTCTCCCCTGGAGCACTCAAGTTTATGTATTTACGAAAAGACACAGGCAAACGCGCCCGGGATTAGCCGCGCTTCAGGCCAAAAGAGTAGCTTGTCTCCACCAACGAGCGAAAACGTGGGGAGGCCGGGCTGGGCAGCCCCCCAGGCGCGCACTCGTTCGCTCTGGGGGCACCAGAGTCAGGGAGGTGCCTGGGAGTCAGGGAACCCAGGAAAGGACTGAGATTCCTGGCCCGACGTGGGGGTTCGTTTGCACTCAGTGAGTTGGTCTGCAAATCAAACCACGTCAGTCAGATTCGTGGTGGCGCAGGGTGAAAGGCGGTGCTGGGTGGAGGAGGCACGGAACACAGGGAGCTAGAGGTCCTTAAAATCACCCCCCTGAGCAACTGGCGGGGCCCTAGAGATGTTCCAGGAGTCCCGGACCTCCAAGAGTTCACCTAATCTGGTTCACCTGTGGGGAGGCGTATGGGGTGGGGAAGCGCCGGCAGCCCGACTGCACCCAGAGAAGGTGAGCGCTTGCGGGCTTGTGCTCAGCTTCTTCAATGCTCTCTCTCCCGGGGCCTGCGTTTTCCCTCGTAACAGACCAAAGCAAGAGCAGTATGGAAGTTACATTCTGGGCAATGACAGATCTCTGCAGCTGCCTATCCCGGGAGAGCACCCTCTCGGCCACTTCAGTTGTAGGATGACTCCAGTCTAAACAGTGTCCCTGGACTTGGCAGGAGCGCCCCGTCCAGCGGGGTAGACAGCCCCTTTCTGGCATTCCGGGACACTTCACAAATATTGGCTCCGAGTGGAAAAGACAACCTGCCCCTAGGCTAGGCCAGCCTCTCTAGGTTTCAACTCCATTCCCTCGGCGCCAGGCTTCTCGTTAGTCTTCCCGCTTTCCTTTCTTAGGGCTGCTGGGGGCCCAGCCGCTCCCCTGCGATCCCAGCGCCCTGCAATGCCAATACCCGCTGCCCTCTCCACCTCGGCCCGCTCCTCCACTTACCTCGGATCCGGTCTCCGCAGACCCCCAGTTGGACATTAACTCCAGGAGCCCCGAGTCCCAGCCAGGAGAAGCATCTGGGGCGCGGGTAGGAGCGCGGAGCCCCGCCCAGCAGGTTGGGGGCAAGAGTTCGCAATCCGGGGGCCCCGCGGGGCGGCGAGGGCGCGCTGGAGGCGGCGGCCAAGGTTCCCGCGGCCGCCGCGAGGAGGGCGAGGGCGGCCGACAGTGCCCTCGCCAGCCCTCCACACCCCCAGAAGTCGAAATCCGAGCAGCCGCCCCTGCCTTGGGTGGGGGGCGACACGGCTGCGCGTGCAGCACTCTTCGGGGAGCTGCGCGAGCCGGGGACCAGGCGGGCGATTCAGCGGCAGCGGCCTCGCTCTGCGCCTCCTCGGGGCGCAGGGCTGGTGAGCACAAGACGGGCCGGGCTGATGCTGCCGCCGGAGCTGAGATCTGGCCTGGGAATCCAAACGAGACACCACGTCAACCAGCGCGGGGAGTCCCGTGAAGACATGAGGGCGCCAGGAGCGCAGGCTGGTCCTCGAGAGCCCGGGCCGGGGGGCCGGGGTGGGGGAGGGGAGTGCGGGGCCCCTGGAGGGGCGGGGGAGGCGGCAGCAGGGCCCGGCGGTGAGGAGGGGAAAGGGAGGCGGCTCAGAGGCGCCCTAGCTCCCGAGGCGGGGGCGCGGGGCGAGTGGGTGACGCGAGGTGCCCCTCCCCCGGGTGCCGGTGGAGACGCCGCGGGGCTCGCGCCGGTTGCTCTCCGGGCAGAGCCGGAGGAATGTGCGGGCTCGGCGCAGGCCAGCCCCCGGGGCAATCTGAACTTGACCGCGGCGGCCGCGCCGTCCGTTGAGCCTGGCTTCGCTCCCGCGCCCGGCGCTCGGGAAGGAGGGCGCGGTGCCCGCTGGAAGGCTGGCGGGGCTGTCCTCGCGCAGCTCGTAGCCTTGGCTCCGCAGCCCTTTCGCCCTCTCGCTGTTCTGCAGGACAGAAGGCAGTGGCGAGGGAGGAAGCTGCCGGCAGGAGTTCTCCGAGCACCACGAAGGAGAGATGTGGAGCGGCCCAGTGAAGGAAACCGAGGTTTTGCCAGGAGACTGCGAATGGAGATGCATTTATAGGGCTCACACTCCGTGACGTGCCCTCCACTGGCTTTTCTGATTCGCTTTCTGACCTAAACAGACATTAGTTTAGTCCCCATGCTAGGGCCAACACGGGCTCCAAATATCTGCTGGCTGAAGTCAGAGGCTTTGCATATCATGTATTACATGGCAGGCAATGAAGAAGGCTTCTGAGGCTGGCCGGCTCCTCGCTCCTAGGCTCCATTTTCATGCTGATGTAACATAATACTAGACCTGGGGTAGGCACATACATTCAAAGTCCCAATTCCAGAGACGTCAGCTCACTTTCTCGGGAACAGGTCAGAGGAGGTAGGGCTAACTGTGTCTGTTATCCAGAGTTTTTGAATATACAGGTGGGAAACCTAACCAGGCACCCCTTTGGGCGCTGAGTTTCAGGGAGCAGGAGCCCAGGCCCCCAACTCAGAGCGCTGAGCATTCAGGAGGTGAGATCTTTCAAGCATTTCTTTTGTTGGTTAGCTTACCACCAGAAGCAGCCAGGAGTCTTCTTTTCTAGAGGACGCGAGGAGGGCAAGTCCTCGCACACCCTGCCTGGGGCTAGAACCATAAATACATTTCCTTCACATGGGGCTTGAAATTAGCCACCCTCTCCCTCTTTTAAAAATAATGTACTGAATGAACTCAGGTATGTGTTTGCTGATTAGAAACCAGCTTTCTGGAAACCAGTGGGCCTGATGAGTGGGACCCCTTTTATTATATTAGCTGGGGCCATAGAAAGTATAAACAGGCTCAGTTTACATCCATGCACCTCTTGTTTTATGACTCATCCGGTTGTTGGGGAGTGCGTGCTCTCAGAGTGGTTGACACTGACAATAGGCAGGGGGAATGCGTGTGTGGCAGAGTGGAAGAACGGGGAGTTATTGAACATCTGTTATTGAACAGCCAGACACCAGCTACTTTGGAGGTTTTGGATCAGCTACTTTGGAGGTTTGTCAGTGGAGTTGGTGTGGGAGGAGAATATTGTTCTTAACAACATTACAGTGGTTGACGATGACACCAACTGAAAATTAAATCGTCCAAACACACCTTTGCTGGAATTAGGATGCTCTTGCAGGATGTTTTCAGTTTTTGATAGGTTTATGGTGGAAAAGTCCATGGAATTGGAAACAGCAGGACAGGATACTTCGCATGATACCCCTTGTTTGGCATTGCTTTTGGAAACTGAGGATGACCCTAGTCAGCACTGAAACCATCAGTTCTTCATTTCCCGCAAGGCTTTTCAGGAGATGGTCATGCTTCCTAAGCACCTACAGTTATTTTGCACTGGCTGTGTGCTAGACCATGTGAGTTACGCGGGTGAGGCATTTGAGAACTGCACTGAATTTACCAGAAGTGTTGGAGTTTGCTGTGGAAGGAAGGCTGACCGGAATCTCCACCACCCAGCCACGTGTCTCTGAAAAGCCTTCCGGAAGGGCCACCCAGCCAGGCTGCATGAAAACGGGATTGAAGTTTAGGATTGGAAAGGTCATTCAGGATAAGGCTCAGTAGCGGGGTTAGCTTGCAGGCCCCCTCAACACCAGGCGCCTGTTGATCCCTCTAATGGGCTCAGCCACCAAGGAGACTCAACACCTCGCTCTCTGTTTTTCTCTGTGTGTCTTTGGCTCCTGCTCCTGCTACCAACTGCTCTGGCTCTCTGTTGATCTCAATGTAATCTCCTGCAGTGAAAGGATTTGACTAGTTCTTCTGGACACTAACCTTGCAGTTGGACTGAGCTTTTGTGCCAGGCCTCCTTGAAGGCTGCTAGATGCCCTGTAGATATAGAGACTAGAGTCAAGTGCTTGTCTGTGGACCAATCAGCTGCGTCCAGGTTGTTGGGTGGCACATAGTACAGAGCTTGGACACTTTTGTTCAAGAAACTGTCGAAGCTTCCTTCTCTCCCCTCTTTATATTTCTGTAATGTTGTTATTGCTGTTAAGTGCCATTGATTCATAGTAGATGACTCATTGCGACCCTATGAACAAGAGACCTGAACACTTGTATAACTTTCATCGCTTCTCCATGTTCATAGAGTTTCCAGAGGCAGGCTATTTCAGAAGTGGATGCCACTTCTGCTTCCAAGCCTGTTTTAATTGGAGAGCTCCAACAAACACCATGTCCACCATGGGTAACCATTATCTCATTTGACACGTCAGTGTCACTGTGTTTATAACATCACAGCAACCATGAGCTATACCACTTAGAAGACCATTTGGCCAAAACCAATTAAAACCAGGTCTGAGGGTCGCAGATTAAAATAATCCGCCTTGGGCTTGGTAGCATAACTTTGTTATAACTCTATCCATGACTCACAGCAATTCTATGAACAACAGACTTAACCCTTGTCCTATCCTACAGCATCCCCACAATCGAGACCATTGCTACAGTCACTATCAATCCATCGTTTTGAGGATCTTATTTTCTTCTCTGACCTTCCACTTCTCTCAGCGTGATGTCATTTTAAAAGGTTTGGAACCTTAACTGTTCTTTCCTTCTGTAATATAAGGTGATAAATGCTTGTTTGTTGTTGCTGTTGTTTACCTTCAAGTTGGAAATGATCCATAGCTGACTTTCCAGGGGGTTTTCAGAGGCAGTAAATCACACAGGAGGAGACAGCCCATCTTTCTCCCTTGGAGTAACTGGTGGTTTTGAACCACATGCCTTCAGGGTGGCAGCACAACTCCTTACCACCAGGGCTCCAGAGCTCCCTATCACCCTGTAGTAAGTGCAGCCTCTTCCTCAGTGAAAACCTGCGGGAGGGTCAGCTATGAGTTAGTTCCTCCTCAACTCAATACACAACAGTGTAACAACAATGATAACAATATAAGGTGATAAATCAACTTTGTCTTACCTACTTTGGGCATATTGTCAGGAGGAGTAAATCCTTGGAAAAAGATGTATTGAGAAATGTGGAGAGTAAGAGAGAGAGAGGTGGACACCCAAGAAGATGGGTTGACACATTGACTAACAATGAGCTCAAGCACATCAGAAGAGATCAAGAGGATGGCTCAGGAGACCGCAAGGTTCAGATCTGTGGACTTCATGGCTCTTAACAACAACAACAATAATAATATAAGGTGATAAATGAGGCGTGGATGAAGTGCCGGTGCACTGAAATGTGCTCTTCCGTGTCCAGTGAAACTTTGGTGACACATTAGAACCATTAGAGAGATTGTAAAATAATCCCCTTGTTGGAAGAGGGTCCTGAATACCGTGTAGACTGCTGAAAGCACAAACAGATACGGAGCAGGTGCTGCCAGAGCGCTCCTTGGAGGCAAGCATGGTGGAGCTTGTCTCGTATACTTTGGGCATGTTCTCAGGAGGGGCTATTTCTTGCACAAAGACATTATGCTTGGAAAGGCCGAGGGCCAGCGAAAGCGAGGAAAACCCTCAGTGAGATGGATTGCCACAGTGACTTTAGCAATGGGCTCAAGTGTCAGAGATGAGAAAGGTACAGGATAAGATAGGGTTCAGATCTGATGTTCATACAGGGTTATGAGTTACACTTGATAACATCTAACAACAACAACAACAATGCCTCATCTGGAGTTCCTGGTTGGTACAAATGGTTAAGTGCTAGACTGCTAGCTGTTGTTGTTGTATATTGAATGGGAGGAAATGGTCCATCCTTCTGCAGAGCAGCTGGTGGCCTCAAACCATGTGCCTTTGGGTTTGTAGTGCAGCTTCTTGCCACTAGGCCACCAGGGCTCTCTCAGACTGTTAGCTGAAAGGTTGGTATCTCAAACCTACCCATTAACATCTTGGGAGAAAGGGTGTGGTGACTTACATCTTACAGGTTAAAACCCATCACCACCGGTTGAGTAAACTCTGACTATCAAGGACTCTGTGGAACAAAGTGGAACGGCCTCATAAGGTTTCTGAGGCGGTAAATCTTTCTGGAAGCTGACTGCCTTGGAGCAACTGGTGGATTTGAACTACTGACCTTTTGGTTAGCAGCCATGGTTTCTAAAACAGGTGGGTTTGCTGTATATCGGGATCCACCTGATGACTGATGGATGATTCGTTCTTATCCCAGGTCAGCTGAATGAGAATCTCTTGGGAGTAGAGCCCAGGACTGCATATTTTTCAAATGGTCCCTGGTTATTCCAAGTACAGCTAGAACTGAGATATCAATTAGACTTGAATGGGGGAGGGGGAGTTGCTATCTTTCCTCTATCTCTTTGAAATGACCCATCTCGTTCTCTGGGAAGTGTCTTTTCTAATGAAACTATCTTTGCTTTCAATTAAATAAAAATGGTTGCCATAATTTTGCAATTTTTTTTAAAAAAACTAAGAGACTAACTGCATTTTGCAAAGTTCTAGTAGAGACACCTCCAAAACGTAAAGTTCCTTTTAAAATCTATTTTAAAGCAGCAGCTAAAAGAGAAATGTAAAATTTAAT